TTCCCCACTAATAGGCAATAGCCGACTACAGTGGGGTGCCAAGAAAATACCAGCACCCTCTTGAGTTTTAGAATAGGACCAGAGGCTTTCCAGTAGCGGCTCGTGAGTAAATATTCTGGGGAGACCTAAATAAATAACATAAATTCCATATAACAACGAACAAGAAAAACCTTTTTATTGAAAAAATTAATTATATTAATACTTCAATTAATATTTAGTTAATATTTTTAATTTAATTTAATTTAATACTAAATTTGTTTATAAATTAATTCAATATTCTGAGATTTTTTTTTATCTGCAAACTCATCAATAACACTGTCTACAAAAGTTGGATGTTAAAGCATTAAAACCACTGGTTAGTAAAACTGCTATTGTATTTTATTTTTGCATTTTAAAATAAGAACAAATGCTGAAATGCTTATAAAAATGTAACAAATAATAAATAGACGGATATACGTATAATAATTTTATCAAATAATTAATAAACCGTGAATAAAACGTCTAAAACTAGTAAAACTAATTAAACACGGGCCACACGGCGTTGCGGCACGGCAATATTACTGTCGTGGACCCAGGTTCAATAGCGTCTATGATACGGAGCTTATTCTCCCCGGCACCCTCCGACCAACAAAAGCCATGCTATTACATGATACGATTGCAACTGACGGGCTTCAGTTTCACTGAACCGGCGACCGTCGTAATGACTAACGACCTGCAGAAATGACTAAAATAGTATTTCTATCGAGATAACTATAGGTTAATATTGGCGATTGAAAGCTTATCAATTAACAGGCCGGCGGGGGTGGATCTGTAACGAGGAACATGTAAAATAACATATAAATGATACACAGCTTCCCCGTTACATCTTATCAATTTCAATCGCCAATAGGTAACTAATATGTTTTCGATTTTGTGACTTTTAATTTATTATAATAAACAATGAAAACGATATAATATATTTTCAATTCAAAAAGAATGTTTATATACATAATTATTTTTAATTAATTATATTATTTACAAGTAGCTAGTTTATTTTTAAGGGGAGACGCAGTCTCCAAGTATCCCCCGACGAGTCGCCCTTGAGGCTTTCATTTGTTCACATTTGTTCCATCCCTGATCCCGGTTCCTGATGTATAACTGACAGTCCTGTAAAGTATTTGAGTAAAAGTATTCAAATACTTTTTTAAGTATTGAATAACTTTTTAAATACTTTCAGCATGAAGTATTTTGAATGGTATTTTAAATACTTTTATTTGTATTGAATACTTTTTGGTATTGAATACTTTGGTTTTTTATTTCGAACATTTTATTTTTATTCGAAATAATTTTAGAAATTTTAGAATGAATTAAGAACACAAAATAGGTAGTATCACCAATGGGTGGTTTCTTCCCTCAAAAAAAAAATCATACGCAAATACCCTATGCACATTTGCTTATTGTTCTAGTTAAGAACAGATTGTAAATTTCATGTAAAAATAAAAAAAAAAATGTAATAAACATTTATTTAATAAATAATAAATAAAAATGATTATAAATTTACTACCTATGTGTCTATATTACAATAATTAGAAACCCACTTTAAAAACCAAAAGTTTTTGAAAAGTATTCCAAATACTTTTTCAAAGTATTTGAGTAGTATTTGAAATACTATACAATTAAAGTATTTGAGTAGTATCTTAAATACTTAAAAAAAATGTATTTGAGTACTTACTCAAGTACTTTTCAAAAGTATTCTTTACAGGACTGATAACTGATTTACTGTAGATCTCTATAACAGTCAAGTGTCTACTAAAAGGCTAAGCATGTTTAAAACTGTTTAACTCATTACTTAAGTCAATATAATATAACTATAATATCATAATCATCAATAATTGTAAGTTATGACAACACTGAAATTTATGTTAAGTTATAATAAATAGTTTGCAAAATTTGATTTTAGGTTTCTAAAATGTTCAATCCTTAGATTTGCAAGTTGAATTTTTTAAAAAAAATTGATAAATTATGTCAACATTTGAACTTTAAAAACTTATAAGAAAACTTGCCTATGTATTTTAGTATTTTCAAACTGATATTATAACAATGTATAAGGTGCCTTGTATTCAAATTTTCAAGTATTTTGTCCCAACAAATAAAATTTTATCGACATTTATAGAAAAAAAAAATAAAATGAGTGCTGTCGTGGGACACCCGGTAGAAACGAAGTTTCTTTTCCAACAAATATTATAGATTACAGTACATTTTAGTGAACCATTCAAAATAAAAGTAAATGTATTTAAGTAAATGTGAAAAATAAATGAAAATGCGAAAATTATTATTACTACTATTTATTTAAGTACTATTATATTAATCATATTCAATAATCGAAATTACAGGCCAGTGATAACTGAAATATGATACGTATGTTCGTGATGTAATTTTTTCCAAATATCTTGAAAATACTGCATCGATAGTTGTGTCATCTCTAGTTGCAGATTCTGCTGGATTGTTTATCATTGTATAAACTGATTGTATAATGTATCCATAAGGACATTTTAAAAGTATCCGATTTCTTATCATTGAAATCGATGTTAAAGTCACCAAATTGTTATAATTTTTAAATTATATAATAATTATAAATGCATAATATGCAGATCTTATTACGCTGTTTCAAATCCTCGAGTTATACACGTTTACTATTACCTAGTCTATACCAAAATCGACGCACAAAAAAATGTAATCACGGCAAAGGTAAAGTACTATACCTATAGGGATATATGCAAAAATCAGATTATTCTACGAAAACAATTTCATGAAATAAAAATGTTTATGCGTCATGCCAGGAGATTATAATATGTCTATAAGATGTAACCAAAAGTTTATGTTTTGTAAGGACCGTGGTATAGATTTCAGTGTCTGGTTGTGCATGGAATACACGTGATATACGCGCCCGGCACTATGGGGATTCCCACTTTACTGGCCGTGCCCGCTGGGCGGTAAAAGGTCGCTTTCCAACGCTTTAACCGCGGTCAATAAACCAAACTTTCGGTGCAGGCGTGACAGCAAATATATTACCTAGGTACAATTCAATACTTAATATTACTCATATGTACTTATTACTTATATATCTTATTAATTATAATAATCATAAATGCATAATATACGTAGTGTAGTGATATATTATCAATAATTATTATATTATTATATTTTTGTTCCATCCTACCGATCGATCTAATATTGCGATAATATTTCAGAAGACTGATCTGAATTCGTTAGAATGTCTATTTGAGATCGGTCAGTCCACATTTTAAGATTTCTGATTTAAATTCCAAATAAATCCCGAATAATCAACGTTTGAAAATTCCAAAATTTCAAAATATTTAAGTTAAATTTATAGATGTTGGGGGAAGGGAGTGAAATTGGAATAATTGGACTGTTCAATCTCAAGTAGACATAATAACGAATCCAAATCTGTTTTAAAAGGTATTATTGGCCATCGCATTACTAGATCGATTAGTATGATGGAATAAAAATTGGATGTTTTAACTAAAATAACTGTTTTATATATTATTATAAATTACAGTATTTCGTCAGGAACGTTTTTTACCCGGCTATCCCCGCATTGTGCCATAAAAAACTTCGTTTCAAAACTAAAAAAAGAAAATTGAAAATGTCCGTAAACAACTCAAAACGAGTCGAAATATTTTTAAAATGTTATCAAGTATGGAAAATAATAAAATAAACATATGGTGTAAATTTCAAGTGTCTATATGATTATTAGTTTTTGAATTACAACAAAACAAGAAAATCGGTATACGAGGACTAGTAAATATCCAATATTGTAAAAATTTGAACTTCATACGCTCATAAACATTTAATTTGGCTTTCAAAAATATATTTTTTGAAAAAGGTAAACAAACTTAAAAGGAATCTTATATTAAATTTTCAAATCTTACATTTAAAAATACAATTTTTTATAAATTTCCAGCTCAAAATAATTTGCACATTATCTTGATTTGTACGTATTTTGTCAAAATTCGAGTTTTAAGAGTGAGCTTTTGTTGTGACTTGTTTAATTACAATATAATTAGAAAAATTTTCATATTCTTTGTCGAGACGCTTTTGAAAATTACTGGGAATTTTTATTTTTCGACTCCCTAGTATACCAACTAGATTAATTTTCCTACTAAAAAAAATACTGAATTAGAAATTGAAGCATTTTCAAACTGTCCAAAAAAGTGATGACAGACACACAAAAAAAAACACACACACATCATCTTCGTAAAATCAATAAAATTCATTTTTCTATTCAGAATCTAAAATTACTGTATGGTAAATGATAGTTTTGAAGGATCATTTAATAGGTTAACTTGTAAAACGTTTATATACCGAATAAGATAGAAAACATATGTGGTGAGTTGGACAGGCAACCAGACTTGCATAGTTGCATGCTCTAATGTCGGATCAGGCAATGGCTGTATAAGAGCTCCTTTCTTTAAGGTCGATAGGCAACTCAACAATACACCAATGACAACTACGTGAGTATTATTGACGATACAGACAATAACTATCAAAATCCAAAGACGAGTGACCACAAGGATACCAAACGCTACGTAGGTGAAATGCAATGGATTTGTGCTATAGGTATAACAGGGCATAGGATAATGCAGTTACATTGAAGCCATTGTGATGTGGTTAGTTGTGGTCAAAATATTTTGACTCGTTTCTATGATGTATTTATTATTAAAAATGTTAAGTATGTAAATCTACAATTAAAACCTTATTTTTTAAAGGTATATTGCAAAAATAAATTAAACAGGTAGGTATTTAAAACTATGCAATTAAACATATTATAATAACAGTACTTAATAAGTAACATTTTTACTCATAGTTTTATCGAGAATAATATTATAATAGTGATCAAAAAAGAATTCATGTTTTTAATGTTTTAAATATTTCCATGCTTAAATAATAGCAGTGCTAAAGTAGCAGATGAAAAACAACTTTTTAATTTAATTACATTTTTAGTTATTTAAAAACGCTATTTTTTCGATCCACGATATGTATTTTGCTACTCTAGTATAAATTCCGGGGGTGTCCTTGTCACCACAAAATCTCCTAAAAGATGTAATTCCGTATTGTGTATACATTTCGGCGATGTCAGCATGTCTTACTTGAAGAGGACCTCCCGAATCACCCTACAATGATTTGGATATTATTTAATTAATTAGTTACATACAGTCATACAGATCACAGACACAGAACATCATTACAACTTTAATAGTTCGTACCGTACAACTGTCTCTTTTGCCATCAAACGAACCCGCGCATATCATACTGTCAGGTAATATGCCAAATTCTAATTTTGAATTATTATTTGAAAAATAACTTTCATTGCACTGTTTTATCGGGAAAATATCCAAATATACTTTTAACAAAGTGTCACTAACAGGTCCAGCTGAAAAAAAAATGTAGTTTAAAAAAAAAGATAACTTTTTACTTACTATAATGATTATGGCTACTGGTTCTTTGAAGAAATCATATAAACATTATAAACTAACCCGTAGAAATTCGTCCCCAACCAGTAACTATCTGTTTCGACGGTGTTAAAGACGGATCAGAGTTGAGACAGATTGGTCTCACTTCTTCGGAGAATTCGACGTCCCTTTCCAAACGGAAGAGAGCTATATCGTTGTAAAGTGAAGGAGGCTTATAATCAGGATGTATTACATGTTCTACTATTTGATAGTCTTTGGGACGATTTACGTTGCTTTCATTGAAGACTCTTGCCAAAACTCCGAGGCGAGCCCAGCGAGCCATATTCCTTAAATTTAAAAGAAACTAGTTTCTATGATAAATATAACAGATAGCACACACTATTTATTTTCAGTTAAAACTAGACTAGTATTTAATTTGTATTATTTTATTTACCTACCCTGAACTTTGTTGACAGTGCGCAGCAGTCAGTATCCACCTTTCGCTTATAAGCGAACCTCCGCATCTCCAGTCATCTGCATTCATTGTGCTGGCACCATAACCTAATAATGCCTGTATTGTTATACATTTATAACAATAAATAATAGCTATATCTATCTCGATGGAGTATATGTTTATGGTTCAATATTACCATGTGTGGAAATTCTCGTAGTGTAGGTTCTATACCACCATATACATAAGAGTGGAACTTAGTAGGCCAAAATTTAAGTAAATTATGTGTATCATTCAATTTTAGCAACTCTTGATTTTTAAGCGGTTTTTGATCCATTGGCACAGGAAGATATTCAAATTTCATTGATTGGAAATTTTTATTACATCCTGTAAATTATTTAATTGATTATATTTATTCCAATAGGTAAGTGTGATTAGGAGGTATTGGTGTGTGTGTCAGTATTTACCATTATACCCAAAATCTGAAATCGTTATTATTAAATATCTACAGTTGAAATTCATATGTCTATAAAAAACTTAAATGGATGGAAAAAAATATTATGTACTATAAAATTTTTTTTTGAACCTTTTAGAAGTAAAAAAAAAATTGAATAATATCACATCAGAATTGTTTATGATATTTTGTTACTCAAATTTTTAAAAGGCTACAGCACTGAAATAGACACAATAAAGCCAAATATAATTTTAAACTTCGAAATAAGCAAAAATATGCAACATAAAATTTCGTATTTAACTTCTTGGTTTTCTGCAGAAACAAATGTATATAGCTCATATAGGCATATAGGCACATAATAATCTCTAGGACCTCTTGAAAAAAACATGCAAAGATTAGAAGTTATGAGCCCTAGCTGTTTATATCAATATCGAAAAATATTGTAATCAATTATAATTTTATTTTTAACTGATTTTGGGTTGTTACATATTATAGCTTGTATAGGTATATGAGCGACAAGTATGTAACATATAAATGTATAATATCAATTTGGTGATGTGTGAGTGTGTGGCCATACTTTCATCAGCAGATATTGATCTCCCATTTTTAATTGACCGTTCATTACCCGTTATCGGAGTCGGACAGCAAACTATCGATTGTAAACCAACAAATTTACATATATCAAGATAATTACGAGTTCTAATACTTTCATTAAAAGCTTTGCAGTGTTTTGTACTCGTACACACATAATCTTGATCTGGTTTTAGGGCTTTCCGACCAGGGGCGGATTGGGCCACCGGGAATTCGGGAGTTTTCCCGGTGGGCCGCTTTTTCAAATAACTATGTATTCTTAAATTCCTATTAGGTACCAGCCCAGTAAATTTGCATTTTTTTCCCGATTTTTCAAAATAAGATAATACGAATTGGATTGTGGACAGTATGCAATAGTAGGTATATCAGGTAGGCAATCTATGATGGCGCAACGATGAGAGACAGAAAGCAAAAATATAGTATTTTTCGAAAAGCAAAAACAGCAAATGTAATATAGCGGGGTCACTAGTTAGGGCAGTTAAAATCGAAAACAACCCTTGATATATTATGTAAAACCACATTGGGTGATCTCTAGGTAACGACAAACTTCGGAAAAAGTCTACTTTACTTGACATCCCGTGGAAGTAGAAAATAGAAAAAGTCAACCTGATTTGAGCAATAAGCACTGTAATATTCAAAAACCATGATTTGCTGTAACTTTTGAACAGTGTTTAAATTCCGAAAATTGTTTTATACACTTTTTAATTCAGTATAATAATACAGTAGTACACGTATTTCGGGTGTAAAAAATTTGAGCGTCATTCGTTTGGGCGAATAATCCAAAATTAACTTGAGTAAAGCATATATCATTTGGGTCAGAAATTAACCGATCGTTTAGGCTAATTTATAAATTATTGAATAATAGGGAAGTAACATTACGTAGGTATACTTTAATTTCTATAATATTTAGTTACTACAGCTAAATATTATTATTATATCGTTTCGGCTGATCGGTGAATACAGATAGTGAACGATAATTTGTTAGATTGTACTAAGACGGAGACAAAACATTTTACTCAATATTATATTACATAATAATACTAAAGGAAAACAAGACTATACAATTTTTCTGATTGTTTAGAATTGAAGTACCTACATAATGTTATTATGAATAAACCACAGTAAAACATTTTTTTAGAAAATAAAAAAAAACACATACATTTTGCATGTTGATTCTGTTAATTTACCTATCAGGTATATTAAGTGGAAGTAAATTATAAGATTTTATTTAAGTCTAAAAACGCATTATTAAATATTATTGAATAGGTAATAACCTTTCTTATTAAATACAAAAATCGTAACATTAGTAATTTAAATTATTCACTTTTACTGTGTTATATATAAGTACTTGGAGTTTGGACTATTATAAATGTGTAAACATAAACTGTTCAAAAATAAAAATAAATTTGATATCGATGTATATACACTACGAATAAAGTTTTATAAATTTCATATCTTGCCAAACGTGTAGTTATGTTAAAATAGTAATACATAATAATATTATGTTGGCTAAAATTAAATATTTGGTAAATTGGTAAGCCGGTATACTTTGTATTTTCCCGGGCCGGAATCTCTCCCCAATCCGCCCCTGTTTCCGACATATCTCACCTAAAAGAAATAAAAATTTCACACTTGAGCTAAAATATATAAGATATAAGAAAATCAATTTTTTTTTTTTCTTACAGTCAAAATAATAATATATTATATCTATTTTAAATTTTGGGTGCAGGAGCGATACCTACTATGGCTACTATTCAGAAAAAAATTAAGAGACAAAGGAAATTTTTACTCTAACGGAGTGAGTCGATCCGATAATATGACAATTTTTCGTACAGTATAAAGTTTTCAAAATATTTCGACTCTTTTTATAGACACTTGAAATATTACATTTTCTCTGTATTCTATACGATTTAATACAAGTTTTCTCAAAACTTGTTCATTTAGTAATTGAATAAATATGTAAATTACATTGTACGTATTTTTTTATAGGCATTTAAAGTTGAAATTTTGATGAAAAACACTTAAATTTTCAAACTATTTATTCAAGGTACCTACATAATATTAAACTAATTGAGTATTTGAGTCCCTTGAAATTTAAAATATAATACTAATCCGTATTTAAATAAGTACTAACTGAGTCCTGTCAAACTTAAAAAGAATAAACAAATATAGGTACCTAATGGCCAATGATTAAATTTAATTTCTTATAGATAGGTACTAGGTAGTAAAAATGTATGAGATAAATTGTGTACACATTTAAATCGGAAGGTTGACTATAATATATTTTACTCAAAATAATTCTAGCACTCAATTAGTATAATATAGTGTATTAGTGTATGCCTATTTCCTTTTCCAATCATGGACTCAATTGGTATCTGTATTTTTGCTATTCAGGCATATTCAAGACTCAATATTAGTATGTACCGGGGGGCGGTTTTGAAAGAGTGAGAGTGATTTAATGAGATGATATGACGTGAAACCGTGTGACTTAGGTGTTGTGGAAAAATGATAGTGGTGAGTGAGATGAAATGAATGCCGCGAGTAAAAGGGTGTTTTAAAATCGTGATATGGAATGATAATCATGGGTGAAATGAATGTAAATGGTGATATCATTGAAATGTACCAAAATAATTTTAATTATTCTCAATCATCTCACTTATTATAAGCCACCCGAGTAAAATGAAAACTATATGATAAACGTATAATTTTACTATTGAATATTTAATTTTTAAATAGGTTTACAAGGTAAACGTACTTACTACCTACTTTTTAGAATGGCTTTACTTTTTGGAATTCCTAATCCAAGACAGAGAAGAATACAATATAGACAACAAATGAGGTAAATACATAGACTGTATATTAAGGTCTATGGTGAAATACCTACCTACTATCACAGGCGCAAATAGGGGAGGGTTTAGGGGCTATACTTTCTGTAAATTATAATTCTATATTCATCTCGTATTTCCTAACTTCCATTCAGTCATTTAAATTTAAATTACTTATAATTTTTGTATACTTAACTTCTAAGAGATGCTGAAGAACCGTTCCTCATTAGTGATACCAAATTTATAAAGGACTTTCGATTATCAAAAGAATGTGTGCGTTATATTATAGCCAGAGTAAGGCCTCACATGACTATTAAAAAACGTCCAAATAGTTTATCTTTGACAAGAAGGGTTAGTACCGAATAACTTATAGTTAATTTGACAATAGTAAGATATGCGTTAATTGAATGTAACTTATAATTCCCTATAGGTACTCATTGCTATACATTTTTGTGCGGTGGGTAGCTATCAAACTGGTATTGGAGAAAACCCGTACATACTTGTTTCTAGGAGTATGGTATCTAAATGCCTAAAAGAATTTACGGACGTTATTGTAAACCATGTTGCCAATGAATGGATCATATTTCCAATAACTCCATTACAAATTGCCAGGAATAAGCGCCGGTTAGTACTGTGTTTAAAAAGAAAACCATATATCATGCTACTCAATAGTTTTCCTCTATAGGGAAAATCTATGAATCATATATAATATGTTTTTGTTAATAAGTTACTATGACAATAAAAACCTTACAGAAAATAAAAAGTATCCAGCCTAAAAACATATAATATATTATGTTAAAAAAAGTAGAGATACTAACCTCTTAAAACAATTGAATGTACTCTGTACCAGTGTCGGTCTGGCATACCAAAAGCCTCTGGAACATTTATTTTCCAGGGCCTCATTCACATAAAATACCAAGGACTTGAAAACTAATTGAAATATAAAAAATATATTTTCCATTTGATAATAATTAATAAACATAAAAAAAATATTAATAAAATTGTACCTATATATGTATTAAATTGATATAAGTTTATATACATTTTAAGCTAAAAAACAGTATATATTATGATAGTAATGTTTTCATTCTTATAAATGTATTACCAAAGCTTAAAGTTATGACTGTATTAAACTAAATGAAGCTGAAAATGTTAAATAATTGGGTTTAAGTATCAATATATACTTTAAATGGGACCAACACATATACAAACTATTGCTAATACTTAGGAAGCTCGTTATAAATTCAAAACATTAAAATACATTGTAGATGCCAATTTAATTAGAACTATCTATTTTGCTATAGCCTAACCAATCTTCACCTATGTGGTGGTACTTATGAAATACATTTGGCTCCTCTGATTTCTACTTTAAATAATCTATTGAGATAAATTTTTGAGAAGACAAGGGTTTACCCAATTAATCTATTATATTATAAATTTGAAGTACCCACAGTGTCTAATTTATATTTCAAAAATATTCTACTACTTATATAT